TCTCTGCGTGTTTGGTTTTTATGGAAATACTGACTTTCCTGTTGAATTTGGTGTTGCTGTTTTATTTTTTATTTTATTTATTTATTTACTTACAATGAAGGCATGGGAGATTAACATTACTACATATATTTAACAGGACACTTCTGTTTTTAAGAATCAATTAAATGATTTTTTTATAGAGCATTTCTGTCGTGGCAAGAAATGAGCTAGCCTTTATGAAATTAGACATTGGTCCAACCATTTAGGCACTAGAATAATTATATGAGAAGTTTACATTTTTAAAAAAGTTTCAGCTTACAAATCTCTTTTTTCTTGCTTGATTTCACAGCTATCTTGGCAGACTAGAAAAAAGATACATTTTGCTAATGACTAGTGCATGGCCGTAGGCAAGTCACTTAAATCTGAATTTCAGTTTCCTCACATGTCAAAGCAAAATAGTATTATACATATCTCACAGGAATTTGTGATAATTAGAATTTAACTCTAAGAGGTGCCTAATTCCATTCTTAACAGTAGACAATCAATAAATGATTGCTATTATACTTTTCCCTTAAAGTCTTTTTTTTAATTTTTATTGTTGAGATTATCACAGATGTCCCTCTTTTTTCCTCTCATAGCTCCCCTCCATCCAGTTCTCACCCCACCCCAGGCCCTTGCAACCTTATTGTCTGTGTGCATAGGTATTGCATACATGCATATAAGATCATTGCCTAATCTCTTCCCACACCCCCTTCCTCAGACTGATAGATTCATCAGTCTGTTCCATTTCCATGCCCCTGATTCTATTCCATTCACCAGTATATTCTGTTCGTCAGATTTTTTATTCATTTGAGTTTTAGGTTCACTTGTTGATAGATATGTATTTGTTGTCACTTTGTTGTTCATAATTTTTTATCTTTATCTTCCTCTTCTTCTTCCTCTTCTGAAAGAATTCAGCATTTCATGTAATAACTGGTTTGGTGTTGATGAACTTCTTTAGCATTTTCTTGTCTGTGAAGCTCTTTATCTGATCTTCAATTCTAAATGATAGCTTTGCTGGGTAGAGTATTCTTGCTATTCATCACTTTTAATATTTCTTGCCACTCCCTTCTGGCCTGCATAGTTTCTGTTAAGAAATCAGCTGACAGTTGTTAAGTGTACTTTCTTTTAGGTAACTAACTTTTTTTTTCTTGCTGCTTTTAAGATTCTCTTTTTGTCTTTTGCTTTTGGCATTTTAATTATCGATATGATGTGTCTTGTTGTGGTCCTCTTTGGATTCCTCTTGTTTGGGGTTCTCTGTGCTTCCTGGACTTGTAAGTCTGTTTCTTTCATCAGGTAGGGGAAGTTTTCTATCATTATTTTTTCAGATAGATTTTCAATATCTTGTTCTCTCTTTTTCTGGTACCCCCATAATTTGGATGTATGTATGCTTGAAGTTGTCCCAAAGGCTCTTTGCTCTATCTTCATATTTTTGGATTCTTTTTTCTTTTTGCTCTTCTGGTTGGGCGTTTTTTGCTTCCTCATATTTCAAATCATTTACTTCATTCTTGGGATCCTCTAGTCTACTGTTGAATCCCTATATATTATTTTTTATTTCAGTCAATGTATGCTTAATTTCTGACTGAGCCTTTTTTTTTTTTTTTTTTTTTTTTTTTTTTTTTTTTGCATTCTCACTAAGATCCTTGAAGGTCTCACTAAGTTTCCTAGAGTTTCTAGAAGATTCTTGAGTAACCTTATAACTGTGCTTTTGAACTCTATATCCAGTAGTTTGTTTTCCTCCATTTCTTTCATTTGTGACATGTTTCTTTGTTTCCACATTTTGGCTACTTCCCTGTGTTTGTTTCTATGTATTTGGTAGAGCTGCTATGTCTCCTTGAGTTCATAGAGTGGCTCAGCCTCCTCATTCACCTGAGGTGGATAATCTTGGTGCAGCCCTTTGTGGGCTGTATGCCCAGTCTTTTTATAGCTGAGCTTTGATTGGTGGGAAAAATTGACCTCCAGGCCAATTGGAGATTTGGTATACAGGAGACACATTTATGGGGCAGGACTTGCTTCAGTGGATCTTTAGTGCTCACTGACTCTGCCCCTTGAGTTTATCACTTATGAGATGTGAAGAGTTGTAATCTGGTATAGTCTCACACTGACCACTGGGTACACTGGCTCTTGGATCTCTAAGGAGGTACAAAGTCAGCCACTGCCTGGGGCTACCCATCAGGAGCTACAGAAAGATCTGCAGATTTCTCCTCTTTGTATCAGTTTTACAAGTGCCCAGATGAGACTCAACTGTGGAGCAAGGCAGTCTGGTGCTGGTGCGAGCCTTGGGCCTTTTATTGATAGCTTTGGGGCTCCCTGACCCACCTGCAGCTTGTTTGACAGATGTTAGGCTGAGAAAGGACAGGCATTCATATGCAAAAGCCACTGTACACAGCTTGGGTGAGGTTGTAAATGGGGTGGGGCAGGGTTTCAGGGACTCTCCAGGGAAGAGCAAACAGAAATGGCTGCCCATCAGCCCTGCACTGGGGAGGTCCCAGCATGGGAACAATGACCACTGCAAGCACCTCTGTTTGGAAGAAAGGTGCCCCCATGTTCCTTCCCTGATGCTAGACAGTCCAGTCTCTCCCCATCTGTGTCTAGCCTAGCATTGGAGCTCAGAGCAAAGGGGACCTTGTAAATCTATTTTGTGGTGCTGGCCTTTTAAGAGGAATAGTTGGGTCTCTAGCAGCCTGTGTATCACTCAGCCCCAATCTGCACTTTTTTAATTTATTTTATTTTTTATTTACAGCCTGTAGTTCTTACTGCCCATGGAGACTTCTTTCCCCAGCTCTGGGACCCTGGCTGGGGGTCTGGTGTGAGGCTGGGACTCCTTGCTTTTCCAAGAAGCCTTCAAAGAAGTGATCTCCCTCCCTATTAAAAAAGTACCACACCTGCCAGACAAGCCAGTTCCGCATCTCCACACCTCCTGTCAGTCTCAATGCACTTTCTTCTTTACCTCTCTAGTTGTAGTACTTCCACTCAGCCAGTTTTCCCGAGGTTCTGGATGATATTTGTTCTGTATTTTAGTTGTAATTTTGATGTGGTTATGGGAGGCAGCAAGTACAAAGAGTTACCTATACCGCCATCTTGGTTCCTCTCCTGGCTGCTATTATTATCATTCCATTATTCCTTAGGGGTGGAAGAAGTCTCATATAGATTGTGTGCCTTATTAAGGAGTCGTTTTTTTTGAAACTCAGAATTGGCTTCCTTAGTAAGTATTGAGTTTCTTACATGAGACATAGTCAATCACAAGTTTAATCACATATTGGCAGGGCTGTGGTAAAGAATATTAGGTTGTTTACTAATAAATACTTATTGAGCCCAAAATATGACCTTTGTTGTTCCTTGTAGTCCTGAAATTCTCTTACTTGACTCAGGCATTTTTTATTGAGTAATGTTTGCCTAGTAGCCTTCTCTCAAATCCTTTTCTAGGATAATGTGCATTATACTTATAAGAGCATTTAAGGTTCTATTTCTATGGGGGCTAGATATAACCAAACACTCAAATGAAAAATAATAATAATTCTGAAATAAAAATAGCTAGCACTTGTGTGTTATTTTTTCAGTCTTTTCACATTTATCATCTAATATTATTTTGTCTCTTAATATGCCTGAGCAACAAATAAAGTAATTTAAATAAAATTTTCTGATAGATAAATAGGTTAAAAAAATGAATTAAGTTATTAGATATGGATTATAAATCATAAGTAGAATTGGGACAAATATCTCTCTCCAGACAATGTCTGTTTCTTGTTTATGTGGGGAATAACAGCAAACATCCAGAAAGTGGTACAGGTGAGCTTTCAACCTAGGTCTTCTGAGTATGGCTTCATTTTTCTTTTTGCTACACCACATCACTTCCTAGTATTCTTAAATGAATTACTAAATATTCTTAAAGGAACGACGATGTCTTTCCTCTCAAAGGGATTCAATAGGTTAACACATTGAGAAAACTCTCTGAAAATACTACAGAGCAATTTAAGCACGTTGCTGCAAATTATTATTAATGTACCATGCTTATGGCTACTTGATTCATGTGGCACCTCTGGGATGTATTGATGCTATTTTGGACTTGGTGTGCTTCTGAATCCAAATATTTATGCTTCTTACAGTTATAGAAAAATCTCAGCCATTATTTCCTTTAATGGCTCAGGATTTCCACAGTCTCAGGATTCTCTAGCCTACAGATAACTGATTAGAAATTATTGCAAATGATTAGAAGCATATTGAAACTGATTATATCCTCCAAATCTCTTACTCTCTTTTGTTTTTTTTTAAATTTCTAATTATTTGTGGCATGTTTAATATAATTTTGCAGATGGACTTTCAGAGCAGATCTTCTTTCTCTAGTTCCATAAGAAAGAGGCTAAGGTGAAAATGATTTAAGACCATTTTTCTTTTCTAACATATGCATTTAGTGCAATAAATTTAAACATACTACTTTTGCTGCATGCCATAAATTTTCATATGTTCATTTTTAAATGAAGTTCAAAAAATTTTATTTCCCTTTTTATTTCTGTTTTGACTCATGAAATCTTCAGCAATGAATACTTTTGTTCTAAATATTTGGGGATTTTTCAGAGATATTTCTGTTATTGATTTTGAGTTTCATATGGTTAACGAATATGATTTTGCTTACTTGAATTCTTTTATTTTTTTAAAACAAAAAAAGAAAACATCAAGTTTAATTTAAATTAAAAAAAACAACAACACAGAAATTGTCTGGAAAAACCAATGGAGCAAATTAATGCCTAAAAAATAGGGCTGCATTTTAGTGATTACATTTATTGGAAGGGTTGGAGAAAAATAAAAATGCCATTTAGCTTAAGAATTTGTGTTATGTGCACATAAACTCATTTCAGGAACAGAAGATTCCTGTCATTTATTAATATCAAAATTTACGCACGTTTCTCTTTTGAATATCTTCTACCTTTAAAGACGCAATCATAATAAGTCTCCTAATTTCCACACAGGATATATTCTTTGTTTCAACCAACTCTTAATGGAGGGGCAACTAGGACAACACCATCTCCCCGGACAAAAAGCATTGGAATATTTCGTTTTGTTGATTTATATATCTCTCCATATGTTTCCTCATCAATTTCTATGGTAGTCACAGTTTCTTCCACATCTCCCAATATCATATTTAAATGTTGATCATAAGCATGTAATCTACCTCGAAGCTCCCTGTCATTTCTCATTTTCACATAAATTCGCTCATCCAGGCTGAGTCTGACAAGATCCAGGGGCTCTTCTACAGTGTTGGTAGTTTGTTGCTGGTCCATGTCGTCCGCCATGTTTCAAACCCTGTGCCCCTACTTAAATTCTTTTAAATGTATCAAGATTTTTTGATGACCCAGGTGTTAATCTATCTGCATAATTATTCCATGCTCACTTGAAAAGACTGTTTTCTATTGTTTTTGAGTATTGTGTAAATGTTAGATCAATGTTAAATTAGGATGATTATGTTGCTAAATCGTTCTGTATTCTTATTGATATTCTATCTATAGGTTTTATCAATTTTTAAAAAGATTATTGAAATATATGTACGAAGACTGAGAGGAAAGTTGGAACATAATATTTTTATCTAATAATATAGTTTGTCTTTTTACTTACTTGACAATATGATGTAAATAATTTTTTTTGATTAAAATGTTTTTCTTTTGTTGCTTCACTATCATTATGTTAGATGTAGAAATACGAGTTGTCTCAGAAACATCTGCTAAAGATATTCTTCCCTCATTGAATGAATTTGGCAATCTGATCAAAAATCAATTGCCTGAGGGGCAGAGAACACGGAAGCTCACCTACACCCAGCGCCCTGCCCGTGGGCGCCTGGATGATTGACAGCCTGACACTGAGGGGAAAAAAAAAAAAATCAATTGCCATAAGTTAATAAGTTTCTTTCTGGACTCTCAATTCTAGTCCATTGCTCTATATGTCTACCTTTAAGACATTACCACATTATTTTGATGACTATGGTTTTGAGATAAGTTTTAACACCAGAAATTATAAGTTTTCCAGTTTTGTTGCTCTTTGCAAGTTTGTTTTGGCTATTAAGGCCATTTACAATTCCATCTAAATTTGAAGATTGACCCTTCTATTTATGTAAAAAAAAAAAAAAAAAAAAAGTTATTGGCATTTCAATAGAGATTGCATTAAATCTATATATTTCTATGAATTGTTTAGTTTACAGCTTTCTAACAATTCTTTTATCCTCAAATTCATGGGGTCTTACTTTAGGTTGTATAGCTTGGTATTTAGCCAAAGGTTCAGGATAACTTCTATGAAGACTCCTATCCCTTTTGGAATTTTTATCGCTCACATAGATCTGTTTTCCAGTCATCTGCCTCACAGTTACCAGCTGGATTCACCTCCTGAGCTCTGGCATCTGTTTTTTCAACGCAGTGTGGCTGCCAGTGGTGGCTTACGTTCTGCGTTTCTTCACTCTAGTCTAGAAACCACCTCCTGGCACAAAGCTGGAGCCACCATTGTGTTCACCTTGCTGTTCTTCTCCTCATTTGAGGGATCACAACCCTCTACCGCCTGCTGTCTGTTATGTTTGAAAAAGTCGATGCTTTGTACATTCTGTCCAGTGTTCCAATTTTTTTGTAACTGGAGGGCAAATCTAGTACTGGTTATTACATTAAGGCTGCAAATGTCAGTGTTCAGTTTTGAAATATTATTATGAACTGACCTGTCAGAACCTTAAGGAAAGAGATTATATCTTATTCACACCTTTATTCCAAATGCCCATTTATAGGGCTGGATATAGATTATGTTCCCAATTAGTTGTTTTATTTGCTTCATGTATGTAATATTTTGTTCCCCTTGAGCATATCATTTTGTGCTTGTCTCCTTGAACCCACGCTTGGTAGCATACAGGTTTAATCTGGTGTGTAAGAAAGAACTTTTGATTGTAGTAAGAAGTCTTGTGTTTTCATGCTGATTCTTTCACCAATGTGCAACAACCTGGGAAAGTCAAAATTATATACAGTTTTTTAAAAATCCTATGGAAAGAGAATCCCTGCACTGATTACCACAGGAGATTGCCAAAAGAACCAAAAGAAAAAGATGGATATGAGTCACTTTTGAGTAGTAAAATACAGAAAAACACAATCCCACTGAAACTTGAACCCTATGCATTTATTTTGTATTCCTCAATAAACATTCCATGCCAGAATTTTGATAAATTCCTCACACACATGAGATGCTCAATAAATTGAATGTATACACAGACCTCAATAAAATTTAAATGGTGTTTACTGTCTTTCATGTTATTAGGGGTAATAATGCTGAAACTACCGGTAATGCTTACATAAATTTCCAGGGATACAGAGAGAAATACTGCAAACATTGATGCCTACTCAGACTTAATTCCTGAAACAATCTCAATAGCAGCGAGGCAGCAAAATAAATTGAGATACACTGTTATTATTTTTGTTTTGTTTGTTTTGGTGTCAAGAAATTGTTAATAAGAACCCTGCACAGTGGGCCATATTATCTCTATCTCTAAATGAAGAATGAGTCAAAACAATAAAACGTAATATTTTGAAAGTAGATGACACTTTGCAATTAAACTTTTCTGGCCAATTCAGAAGAACTTGGAGTATCCAAAGGGAAGAGCAATTAGATCTCACGTGGGAGGTGTGTGCTTTAGAGACAAAGATAAAATGGTGAAGGCTGTCAAGGTGAACTCTCAGAAATGCCTGAAGGAGTATAATTGTTTCTTATGTTACCCAAAAGGGTATTTCCAAATTGCTGACTTGACACCTCTCTCTTCTTTGTTGGCATGTTTCAATGACTCTTACTTTTTTAACTATGCAGAGTTCTCTGGAAATGTTGTACCCTATTGACTTTCATCAACCTCCCAGGTGGTGCTAGAGGGACATTTGTCAAATGCCTTCTGTTCCAGAAATTGCTTTAGAATCATAGGAGGTCACCACTAGAAGGACCTGAGAAGAGATGTAGTCCTTCCCACTCATTTCAGTTAAGGAAGTGGATATTGAGAAAAAGACACTGATTTTACAGTGTCTTAGAGGCAGTGAGTGGCACAAGGAATACCTGGTTTTTCTATAATATCACCTTCCCCTTTATGTGATAGGGAATGTGTAAATACCACTGTTATTTGTCTCATTTCTCTTTCCTCTTTCCCTATTTTATTTCTTTCCTTTGTTTTTTCTTCTTTTCTTTCCACTTTCCTCTAATAAATTTATGTCAAATTACTTAATAGTTTTCAAGAAGTTTATGAGACTATTTTTTGTGTGTTTGTATGCATGCATGTCCATGTGTTGAGTGCAAAACTGAATTCTTGTTTGTCATTATACGTCGCAGTGTTTTAGGATGGGGAATGTAGAAATTTTCATCCCAGTTAGTGTCTGTTCTTTGTATGGAGCAAGCCTGTGAATCAAAACTATAATGGGTATCTAAAAACCAGTTTTCTTGAAAGCTGAAGTGCTTTTTTTTTCCACTTTCAAATTCACTTTACTTTGATATCAAATGAAACCCATTTGGTGGAGAAAATTAAAGTAGCTGCATTTTTCCTGAGCACAGAAAAATCTTTTATTTGCCTCTAACCCTTTCCATTTTTCATGACAGTCGCTGCATTTTCTTCTCTAAAACACAAACAAGTCAATGTAAGCGTGGCTGGCAGGCTAAAGTGATTATGGGATAATTTGTGTTTGCCAAACCAAACAAAATCAATCACCATTGTTTAGAGACCCACAACATTAAATGGCTAGGAGAAGATATTTCTGAACTTTCACAAAATAAGTTTTCAAACACAGATAAGGGAGCAGAACATCGAATACCCTCAGGTACAGTTTGTAATTTTCAAATTTGCATAAAAAATATAAACTACACATATGGCAGCTTAATTCCATGGGATTAATGCAAACGAAAGGCAGCTTGGCACTGTTGAAATGATCACTTTAGTTATAGGTTCCCAAGGGGCAAGAATATATAATGAGTGTTTATGTAATTGAAGTAACCATTTTAGAAATGTAACTTACTGGCCTATAAGGAATGGAGAAAGGAGAGAATTTATAGAAACAAGTATACACTATATCTCTAGCCTTTTGTTTCTGAGTACATTAGTCCCCCCACATCTGAAGGAGATATTTCTTAAACCCCCAAATGGGTGACTAAAACTTGGAGTAGTATATTGAACCCTATATATTCCATGTTTTCTCCTGTCTATACATATCTTTTCATTTGAAACATTTTACGGCTTCTTTTTGGCATATCCAAATTGTCAGTATCACTAATCTTGTTCTTCAGAGACATTATTAAGTAAAATTAGAGTGCCTTGAACACAAACACTGTGATACCATGACTGTTAATGTTATAATTCAGATGGCTACTAAGACGAATAACAAATTTAGTGTGGGTACATTGGACAAAGGGCTGAGTGAGGTCTGGGGCAGGATGAAGTAGGACAGTGTGAGATTTCATCTTGCTACTCAGAGTGGCACACAATATAAAACTTAAGAATTGTTTATTTCTCAAATTTTCCATTTAATATTTTCAGACCATGGTTGACCATGGATAACTGAAACGGTGGAAAGCTAAACCGCAGAGAGGCAGAACTACTGAATACTCAAAAGAAACTGTTTTAGGGGTGAAGTTTTATGTTTGCTTTTGTCTCCACTTGTTCGGGATTATTTTTCCCGTCTATCCCAGTTTAAGTTCTGTCAGGGAATATATTGTCCATAGCTCTCTGCTCTGAGAAACTCTAGGAATCCACTTTTCCTCGGGGCAGCTGTCTAGTTGCCAAAAAGAGCTTCAGAAAATTCTGGCCTAACTCTAAGCTAGTAGGGGTTAGTTAATTTGGGCATTTAGAGTTAAGACAGAGTCTTCAGTTTACAGAATAAACTGAGTTGTCTCTGAAACTCTTAGAAAAATGTGCATCTTTCTAGCCCAGCTGTCAGTCACTCAAATAACTTTTCCTCTTCTTCAACAAGTGTCGATCTTCCTATAAAACGTGGTTTCATATATTGTATGGCTTGGGAGATCTTTAAAGCAAGAGAAGTTCCTCTAGGTCAGGTTCCATCACAGTAGATCCTGAGACTTATATTTTTGTTCTGGTGAGGTACTGGGTATGTGCTCAGGGAAGGGGGTTGGGGGGTGGGGGCAAGCACCTGACTTGTCTCTTTGAGGAAAGTGGGCTGGCTTTTACACCCTGGTATCAGTCAGATGTTGGCTGGGGGCGGGGAGGGGGGTGGGGGCGCGTGTCTAGATGCTCTATTTGAGGTGGAAGCTCTCATTGGCTGAACGTTATTCTCTGGGAAAGGTACAG